TCCACCTTCCCTGGGGAAGTGTTAGCAGAAGGAGGGGAAGGGACAGCCCACAGTGCAGCTCTGATCCTGCCCAGCCCTGGCAGGATGGCACCCTACCCTGGTCAGCCTGACCTGGGCCCTGCCCACAGCTCCTCCTGCAGCTGTGGTCCAGCCTGCCTGGCCTCCTGGGGTTAGCTGGTCCTGGAGGCTGCACCTACTGCTGATAGGCTCCAAGACAGCGGCCAAGTGCGGGAACAGCCCCGGGGGCACTTGCCTGAGCTCTGTAGGGCAGACCTGTGTTGTGCAGGAGCTCAGGAATAAGGCTGCTAGTGTCACCTAGGGCTTCTCGAGCCCCTGGTGCTTTTGGAGAACACCTAGAGGGAGCACAGGACAGAGGGAGGCACGGCGGGTAATATGGTAACACACACGCGGGTATGACGGGCACACCTGGCTATGGCAGGAGGGGTGAGGGTCACACGAGGCTGCAGTGCCCCTAAAGGGCCCCGCGGGCAGTGGCAAAGGCAGGAACTGCCTCCGGGCTGCGTCCAGAGGGATAATGGTGTTCATTAGGACGCCTGTGCATTACGGGAGCTGGGCAAACAGACGGGGTTATCGCATCACGATTTGAAAAACACACAAATAATTCATGTACCTATGATGTCATGGTGCTGCTGTAAATAATGAGTCCACACTAATACCTGGGTCTCATTGTCAAAGGGCTCCGCATCCTGGCAGGCAGGCGGGGGGCAGAGTCCCCCTCGGTCCTGAAAAGCACAGCCAAGCCCACAGCCCGCTGCCCCGCTGAAGCTCAAGTGCCGCCCCTCATCCACAGCAGGGAGCCAGGGCAGCAGCCCAGCGGGCAGCAGCGCCCACGCCTGCACTTGAGGCAGGACAGGCACCGGCCGTGCCCACAGGAAAGAGCCAGAAACCCACGTGCTCTGTCGTGTGAATCTGCTCAGGAGAGCACTTAGCTGCCAGAGTAGCTGGCGGGGGGTGAGCAGGGGAAGTGCAGGGACCCCAGACCAACCCAAGGCTACCTGGGGGCTCCCAGGAAGTCTGGAGTCCTCCTGGCGCAACAGGCCGCCTCTGCCCAGGGCCAACTCCCACCTCTTCACCTGGGCTTCACGAGCTGGTCCTTGGCTCCGGACCCCAGGAAAGCCTCACTCACTGGCCTGGTTCTGAGGAGCAGCACCCACTGCAAAACCTGAGTCTTCCAGGGGTCCCCAGCTCCTGGCTCCCAGGCTCAGGGTGGCCGTAGAGCAGAGATGTCCATCCAGACTGTCCGGAGAGTGGAGGGACCCCTACCAGAGTGGCAGGGACCCCCAGCCACACCACTGTAGAGTGCGGGTCGGGCCACCTGGCTGAGCCAGCCATCTCCAGGTGCCATCGGCCAGCCTGGACTTGATTGATCTCTGGATGAATATTCATGTGGCATTCAGCAGGATGTCATTAATATTCTGAGAAAGCAGAAAGCCTATCCGTGAATGGCGGTCGATATGCAGCTGATGGCCAAGGTGGCAACTCAGTGGCTGCCTCAGAGCTTGGAGGGCGGGGCAGGACCGCCCTTCCCACCCACTGCCCCCCCCTCCTGTGACCTGACCCCACCTAGCCACTTCCCCCTGAGCCACTGCTGGCTCCTCCAGCCTCCCACACCCCCCGCTCCAGCCCCTCACCTGGACCCTCTCCCACCTCTGTCTAGGTGTTTGTCCCCTTCCCATGGCTGCACTATGACAGGGGCATTGGGGCCTCACATGGATGCTTCAAGCCGGTGACAGGTTCCACTTCCCAACCAGAATTGGTCTCTTCCTTCCCCAAGCCCTGGCTTGGGTCAGTGGCCCGAACCAACACCCCTGGTCTGACCCTGTGCCCACAGTTAGAAGTGAATCCAATCTGCGGCAGGCGAAGCAGCGTGCAGGGCCCTCGGGGTCCTGGCTCGTTCCTGTTGCGCTCCCACGCCCTGGGAGACCCCTGGGCCCCAGCTGCTGCCCTGGCTAGCTCAGGATGAGACTCAGCACAGGGCACTCCTGCCTCTTCAGCCCCCAGTGGTGGTCAGGAGGGCAGGTGGCCACAGCTGTCCTAGCCAGAGATGGACAGAGGACCTCTGCCCAACTTGACCTGGGCTCTGGAGACTGGCCCTGGTGGGGGCTGGTAGCTGCCGAGAGCTGGATTAGGACTGTAGCCAGAGGCCCCCAGACAAGCTCCTGCCCCAGTGCCCACCCACACCCTGCTTCCGGGCTGCTCTTCTGCAGGAGGCTGGGGATGACAGTGTGAGGGCCATGGGGGACAGGGAGCGGGCCACAGGGAGCGGCACCTGCAAGCTCCGCAGCTTTAGGCGGCCACCCCACCCCCAGGCGCAGCGTGGGCCACACACCTAGAGCCACACCACCCAGCCCGAGGTCCCGTGTGACACAGCTGCCAGCAGCCCAGGCACACTGCCCAGCTGGGTGGGGGAGGGGCACAGGGCCCTGGAGCTGAATCAGCGGCTCCCGAACAGTCCCAGCCCGGGCAAGGATGCTGGGGGGCAGCTCCCTCTTTGGGAAACTGTCGGGAGGCAGCCAGACTGCTGGGGATTCCTGGACAGTTGCCCCTGCTGCGCACCCGCCTGGGAATGCTGCTTCCCAGGAGCCAGTGCCCAGCTCCGAGCCGCTGCGGGAGGAGGAAAGGGCCTTCCTGGGAGGAGCTGGTGCAGAGAGGGACCCTTCTTCCAAACAAGGCCAAAAAGGGAGAAGAGAAAAGCAGGCTGGCCACTGTGGACCGCTCAGTTCCCCTCCCCGGGAAACGCTGAATCAGCACTGGAAGGCGCGCTGCCACGGCTCCCGCCCTCCCCCCTCGCACACTGGCAGGGACAGGGCCTTCCCAAGGTCAGCTCCTTGATGCTGGCTCCTCAGTGCCTGCAGCAGCACTGGGGATGTTCCTGGGGGGCTGTCAGACCAGGCCCCCTGCTCACACCCCCACCCCGCTGAGACTTTGCCCCTCCACCCGGGAAGGTCACCTCTTGCCCCTGTGTTTGTTTTGGGTCTCTGCCAAGGGCTGCAGACAGGGCACAGAGACGACTTCACCATCCACCCTGTGCCTGGGGACTGGGCAGCCCCTGGCCTGTCTCCAGTGAGCATCTCATTTCTAGAAATCCCCAAGCTCCAGCCTTCTCGCCACCCCTGTCCTCTGCTGGCTCCTTGGGTCTGGATTTTCCTCCTCTCCAAAGACCCCATGTCCTCCACTCCAGGAGGTGGGTGGGTGAGGTTGACCTGTGTGGTGGACAATGGAAGAAAACTGGGCTTGAACCCCTGCCCATGGACGGCTGGAAACCAAACCCAACACAGTCAATGGCAGGTGGCTGTGGCCCTGGCCCCTCCTCGTCCCCCCCTCCACCCCTCATTGCTGTCCTCTGCTCCTCCTCCTCCTCTGCTGGGATCCTGTTCCTCCCATCGCCTGCCCAGAAGCACCCTCCCCAGAGCCCCAACTCCACCACCAGCCCCACAGCTACCTGTGGACATGGCACCTCTGCCCTGGTTGAGTATGTTCTTGGTGGTCTGGCCCGGGGCTGCTTCCTCCCCTCTGCTCCACATGCCAGGAAGATGGCTCAGGCCTCAGCGCATCTCCCACACTGCTCCACCTGCTGCCCACCCACCACCACTGCCTGGCTGCAGTCACCGGCATCCTCTCAGCCAGCACCTGGGTTGGGCAGGTCTCCCTGTGGGGTGGCCTCTTGGTTTTCATGTCCCTGCTCTCCCACCACCTACCTGATAGCAGGTGGCCTCCTGCCCACTCCCTCCCCAGCCTTGGAGATGTCCCTCTGCCTCTCCTGACCATTTCTACCTCACGGGCAGTCTGGGCCACTTGAGGGGGTGGGGAGGTGACTGGATGGACAGTTTACTCAAGTGGGGTCAAACATGTCCCCTAAGCCACCTCCCTGCAGAGCTGGCACCACTGCCCTCTCAGGCCAGGTCTGTCTCAGCACCTCCCCTGCCCTCTACTCCTCCCCACCCACTGCTGTGGCCTCCAAGGACGCTGGCCATCCCCATTTTTTCACAGGGACTTGGAGTCCTTAATGAGCAAATAGATTTGCTCTAAATAAGGCATTTCTGAGGAATTCCCAGGCCCAGGGACATAGCTCTCGATTGTGTCCCCACCCATGGAAGCACAGCCGTTGTTGGGGGTCCCTGGTCTGCCCCCCAGGTGTGTTTATCCAGTCCTACAGCACTGCCAGGTCTGTGTGCCACACGGTGGTCAGAGGTTCGGGGGCAGTGCCTCAGAGCTGTGGTTCTGCAGCCCCAGGAGGCTCCTTGAAAGGGACCTCAGTCACCTGGGGCCCACATGCTCAGTGGCCTCGTGGGGCTGCAGTGTGGATGGAGCAACCCCTGTGCAGTCTGGACAGAGGTGGCCTGGTTAACAGTGGGCACGAGGACAGGGCTCAGTGCATCAGCACCTGCCTGTCCCGTGTGCAAGACCCTGGGCTTGACCCCAGCCCCACGGAAACAGCAAGATTCCCCAGACCCGTGGAAGACAAGGCCGGCCAGCAGCTGCTGGGAAGGTGGTGTCCCCCTGGGCATGTCGAGCGGCCTAGCAGGGTCCATCGTGGGCACAGCCACCCTCATGCCTGGCTGACCCGGGCCCAGCTTCGACACCCCCAGGACCCTACTGCATCTGGAGCCTGGGACACACAGGGCGGTCAGAAGCCCCGATACTCAAACCTGGCCCCTCTGTTCCCATGCTGCCCTGGGACAAAGTTGTCTCATCCAGAAACAGTGGGAGGGTCTCTCTGTCATTAACCTGTTCCCTTCTGTAACTTTCTGGCCATAATGGCTGAAATCAGGTGTGGTGGTAGCCTCAGAGCTGTAAGAAGTCTTTGTGGGTGGGAGGACCAGAGTGTGGACTTCCACTCCACAGAGGCCAAGTTCCTCACGAAGARAAACTCCTGTAGTCTGAGGTCTTTTTGGTTGGTGATTCTATCCTTAAAAAGCAGATAAATATTCTGAGCTTTAAGCAATCACTCCATCAACGTGTTAAAAAAATAGGTTTAATGCAGGTGGCTCATCTCATTAAGAATCGACAGGCACTCGGGACACTGGGCAGCGGGGTGCAGCACGCAGCGGTCCTGTCGCCCCTGGCATGGTGTTTACATTCAAGGCAGCACAGCCAGCCCCTCCTGGGCTCTGGAGCACCCACCTCCTCCTCCTATGCCCTGGAGGGGCTCTGCCCATTCTGTGACAGGAGTCAGTGAGAGTAAACAAAGCGGCTTGAGGAAAGCGCATGACCTAGTGCAATAGATTCTCTGCAGCAGGAGAAAAGCGGGTTCGGGAAGCTCTGCGCCCGCCCTCCGGCTCACAGGCGCCCTCTGGAGCCTCCCTCTGGAAGAGCAGCGGACGGAGGCTGGCTACAAACTACAGCACCATCTGTGGCCAGGAGCTTCTGCTTCCCTAAGTTGCTCTTCAGTGGCACACAACTGTCCTCACAGATCCCCGGCCACTGGTCTGTCTGGCAGGGCAAGTTTAAAGGGGCCACCACCCAACCCAGGAAGTGGGGACAACTTGAGGTGAAGCAAGTATTGACCAAGTAGCCATCCTCAGGGTCAGGCTAGTGTCCTACACCTCGGTTAACTGACCAGAGCCCCTTCAACACAGGAAGCTAGATCAGGGGCCCAGGTGCTCCCTGCTCCGAGGACACCCTGCCTGTCCCTCAGTCACGCTCTCACACCTGGATGCTTCAACAGCTACAGCAGGGTGGGGACAGTGCTGGGGGAGGATCTCTGTGGTGGGCCTGGCCCACCCCCAGAACCTGCTCCAGAAAGGCAGGTCTCAGTGCTGGGTGCTGTCTCACAGGAAGACAGGCCAAAAGCCTGCTCCCAGACACCCCATGCTCGAAGCAGCATGCAGTACAGGGGACATTCTCAGCAGGCCTGGCCAGGTGGAGGTAGAGGGAGCTCTACCTGGCTCCCACACACTCTGGGATGCCCCTGCGCCAGGGACCAGCCAAGGCTGTCTGCACTTCAGCCAGACTGCATCTGAGCCATCCAAGGGGACCCACACAGSCCCTCAGGGTGACAGGCAGGAGGGAGGGAGTGGGCAGCTGTGAGACAGTGCAGTATCTGCCAGTGGAGGCCAACACTGACCAAGGCCAGGATGGGCTGAAGGTGTGCAGGAAGAGGGCCGAGCAGCCAGGGGGTACCCTGTCCAGATCTGCTCCTGGGCAGTACACCCATGTCCAGGGTCTCCCAAACCACTGGTAGGGCCTAACTGTGGGGTGTGTGTCACAGAGAATCTCAAAATGTAGAACAGACAGAAGCCACCCCACAGAACAACCTGGAAGGAGGTGAGCAGACCACCACAGAGCCGGAAGCCCAGCCGGCAGAGGGCACAGAGGCCAGCCAGAGGGGCAGTGGTTCCTATCACAGAATAGTCTCAGCCCTTTTCTCCCCCAAAGGGGAGCATGTTCTACAGTGGTCGCCTATAGGACGCCAGTGCACAATGCCCTGACCAGCCCACCCCATCAAGTCAGGCGGAGGCCATGCCCTCACATGTCCACAAAGACCATAAAGCACCAGCCCAGGCCCCCGACCAGCAGCATGGTCACGTGGATGCCGTAGATGAGCAGCTCGTTCATGAGGCGGAAGTCCACCCGCCGGCGGCCCAGGAGCAGCAGCAGCACCGACAGCTTGCGCTGGAAGCGCARCAGCACGCGCACACCCAGGTACTGCAGGCAGAAGAGCGCGGCCAGCGCGCCCCAGAGCGCCGCGGTGAAGAGGCTGCAGCTGAAGTAGAGCAGGAAGCGGATGAAGCCGTAAAGCCAGCGCGTCTTGACGTACACGTCGAAGTTGTTGTACTTGGTGCGCGCCAGGTGCGAGGCCCTCACTGGCCCGCAGGCTGCGTGCAGGCAGGTGGTGTGCGGGCCGTGGAAGGAGCGCACCCGTCGTGGGATGGGCATGACAGGCATTGGCCCCAGCGGCAGCGGCGGTGGCGCTAGCTTGTAGTGGCGGTGCAGCCTCCAAGAGGCAGTCAGCATGGGTGTCATGGGCGCCTAGGCCTTGGAGACCTCAGAAGAGGCGTGGTCCTGGGGGGAGAGACAAGGAGGGCATCAAGTCAGTCTGAGGACATGGTGAGGGTGTCTCTCCCTGAGAAATCAGCCCGCCAAGCAGGCTCAAATGCCAGGCCTGGAGCTCAGGACTGGGACTCAGTCCCCACCTTTCCTTTTTACAAACCCTCCTGAGGATTCTTCCAAGGGACCCACAATGTAAAATCCAGAAGTGGCACTTTACCCACAATGCTGAGCAAGGCCAGGAAAGTGACCATGGCCCCCTCACCCAAGAGGGCCTCCCTGAGAGCAGTCAGTGACAAAACGGTTGTGGTCCAGACAAGCAGAGTCTGGCTAAGCTCACTCCTTTTCAAAGGCTTCTCACAGTCACTGTTCTCTAGATTTGTCTTGCTTTAATTTTGTATGTCTACTATTGCTCAAGACTTCTGCAGATTTCAGGGACAACAGTCCTTGAAGGCCATTCCACAAGGAACAATAAGATTAGGATGAGGAACAAGATGCAGAACAGATGTGACTCTGGAGTCACCTGGTGGGGCCTGAGCCCTGGTGGTGTTATTTCTTAGGAATGTTCTGGGGCAGGTTACTTGAGCACAGGCTCCTGCTCTGTAAGCAGGGGAGGGGAGGTGGGGGGCAACAGCTCTATCCTCCCAGGGTTGCCTGAACCAGGGAGGATACCTGGGGGTGTCATGGCAAAGCAGGGCCACAGGGTTGGGTCCATGCTGTTTGCCACGGGATGCAGCAGCCCTTCAGACTGGGCTACAAAAGAAAGGAGAAAATGGCACATGGCTCTCTAGTTGCACCTAGTAAATGCCATTTACAACTTGCTTTGATAATCTGTGGAAGGAAACAGCAAATTGAGAGTTCAGGATGTAGAAAATCCGATAACGAAAGTTAGTAACAAGGCAGCCAAAAGCTTCCACGTCCTCAGATGGATTTCAGTCTAGCTCCCCCTCCCGGACGCAGGTCCAGAGCAAATGGCTGCGCAGCCAAAGGCACTGGGGGGGGGGGGGCCGGATACCCTGATCCGTCCTGTGCCCAGTCCGGGCGCTTCTGCGAAGCTTTACCCAGTCTCCAGTCGCTGCGGGGATAGGACAACGCCCTCGTTTGGGCGTGTAACTGTACCCCGCGCAGCTGGGGTAGTGCGCCTGCTGGCAGAGGGCTCCATTCTGCTCCTGCCACCCGGTGCCTCGGCAGGTGCACTGGTGGCTGCGAGACGGCACAGCGGAGCCGGCAGGTGCCTAAGGCTGCGCGCCGGGTGCCGGGTGCTCCACACCACGAGCCTCCCTGCAGACCACGCTCGGCCCGCGGACCACCACACGGCCACCCTCCCCGTGCCCATGAATGCCAAGGGGCGCAGGGGGCCACGCGCAGGCGCGTCACACCCGGAAGCCCCGCGGGCCGCGCGCGACCCGGGCCCGCCGCCCAGGGCATCTGCGGGCGCCACTTCCGGGCGTCGGCGCCGCGCGTTGCCCTGGAGACGGCCCGCGGCCAAGTCCCGCCCTCCCCGCCGGCCGCTCACCCGGAGCCTTCTTCGCGGCGGCGCCGGCGTCCTGGACCAGGAGGCAGGCCGGAGGTGTTGGGGACTGGGCCTGCGGGCGCCCCTGTCGCCCGAAGCTCCGAGAGCAGGACGACTGCATTCTGCTGAGAGTTCCGAGCGCTTGCGCGGCCCCTCACGCGTCCCCGGCTGGGGCAAGCCCGGAGGGGAGGGCGTGCCCGGGCCCGGCCGCCCGAGGCGTTTGGCCCAGCGTGGGAGCCGTAGCGCCGTCCCTCCGCGGCCACCGTAGAGCGGGCTTCCCGCCCCCTCCGCTCGCGCCGGCACGGCGAAGCCTCGCTGTGCTCGTTTTGGCCTCGCGCGAAGCGTCCCAGAACTCGATTCTGTCACGGCGCGCGCGTACGAGCCGCGAGCGGTTGTGACGTCACCGCCCAGGCGCAGACAAGGAACTGCGCAGGCGCAGACAAGGAACTGCGCGGGCCTTGAGGGCTCGGCAGTGCGCAGGCGCGCTCATGCGTTGGGCCGCACCCCCCCCCCAGAGTTCCGCGCGCGCGTCCTCGACGCTGCGGGGGAGCTGGGCTGACCGGGTATAAGCTGCTCCCCGGAGGCGGGAGATTCCCCCGGAGGCCGGAGGCCGGGCGGCGGTGGGCAGTGCAGCAGCCGAGCGGGTTTACCAGGGCTGTCGGCGGCGAGCTGGGTGTGACACCGCGCGGGGTTCCCTAGATCCCCAGAAGGAAGTTGGGTCGGGCGTGGTGACCCTAATTGTAATCCCAGCGGTTCGGGATGCTGAGGCAGGGGGATGACTAGTTCGAGGCCAGCTTGAGCAACTTAGGAAGACCCTGTCTCAAAATGAAAAGGGCTGGGGATGGAGCTCAGTGGTAGAGCGTCCCTGGGTTCACTCCCCAGTAACACAAAAAATATAATGAGAGTGGATCCTGCAGGCCAGCAGTAATGACCTTGCCAAGGCCCTGCAGGCGACAGAGGTCGTGGACAGGGGGTATGCTGGAAATGTCCACAGGGTCAGACCACCCATGGTGAGTCTGGAAAGCTGTGGCCCTTCAGAGTTCCCCCATTGACCCTCCGGCCCACTGCGGTCCAGTCACAGGGTGCAGGCTGTTCAGGTGGCAGAGTTGGGTGACAGGCTATTGGGCGGAGGCCCTTGAGATAAGGGCTCCCAGCAGGTGGAAGAGCCACCTGGGGCTGGGGCCTGGCTCAGTCTCTACTGTGCAGGAGAGGGCGAAGCCCCTCTGAGGACCAGAGAGCCTTTACCTAGCCTGAGCTGGAGTCTAAAAACTGACTGGACCAGTGAGGGCCCCTGGGAGAGCACCAGGAGCGGGTTCTTCAGTGACCAGCGGAGCTCTCCCCAGAGAAGCCTGGGCCATTGCATCCCCACACTGTACACATGTGAAAACAGAAACAGTGAAACAGGGCCCTGATGGCTGGGTTTAATTGTCTGTTTTAAGGGCCTCTTAAGATCAGACCAACCAGTGCTTGCCTCTCGTGGAGCTTTGGGCTGTGTCCCTGGCCTGGACGAGGCGTGGGCCAGCAGGAGGCTGCCTGTCTGCCACTCTGGGCTTCGAGCACACTGGAGGCGGTCACCCTATGGAGCAGCAGTCACCCTGTGGAGCAGCTCTTCCCCTGGCCTGTGCCTTCATTTGGGGCTCCCTGGCTATCCCTTAGTGACCCCACAGCTGTTGGCTCCAGCCCTTTCAGCCCCCCACATCCTGTTGTGCATAGTTGGGGAAGAATACAGGGCTGACTCCAGAGCAGGTCGTCCACCCACACTGCCCCTCGGTGGGAAACATGAATAGAACAACCTGCTCGAGGTGCCCACCATCTTGCAGTGAGGAAGGATGAGGGTAGATGGCAGGTGGGTGGCAGGTGTGCAGACTCACCATAGGCCAAGGCCCAGGACGGGGTGGCACAGACTGCCCTCCTTTCAGATGAGCAGTACTACCTTCCAGGTGTTGTGAGGGTCTGTTGAGCGCTGTGGGTGGCATCAGTCCCCAAGAGACTGATTGACCTAAGGATGGGTGAAGTCACTGCCATCTGCGCCCACTCTTGAGAGACCTGGGTGGACCGCACAAGCCAGGTGAAGCAGGCCTTTGAGGATGGCCCACCAGGGCTGTGGGTGCATTCTTCGGGCGAAGTCCTGAGGCAGGGGGATGTCTGCAGAGCGTTTTCATTTACTTTAGTTTCAGAGGTCATTTTCACTTTTTTTTTGTTGTTGTTACACATTTCYGTGCCTATTCTTTTCACTGTTATAAAAAAGCTTTTGGGAGAGAAATTAAGGAGGCATGTATCACTTGGAGCGGCCACAACACCCCTGCATTAGAATGTCTTCAAGGAGACCAGGACCCTCCCCAAGGCCTCCAGGTGGGGACTTCAGGTCCCCTGGTGTGCTTTCCAGGGACGTGGCCAGTTTGGTCTTGCTCTGAGGTCTGTCCCACTACCCTGTCACCTTGTCTGTAGCTAATGGCCCTGACTCTCCTGTCAGGCATCTATCCAGTTGGCCCCGGCCCCAGGTCGTTGCCAATGCCACCAGCGTGTGTGGCCAACCCCTGCCCATCCTTCTCTCAGAGGTCCAGGTGTCACTTAGGGCTGGAGGGTGGTGAGAGCCCCAGGAGAAAGTGACTGGTGTGACCTGGGCAGGGGTGTTGGGTGGGGAGCTGCAGAAGCTGCAAGTTCCTCCACCTGGGACTAATTTCAGGCCTGCTGGTCCCTGTGGAGCCGATGCGGGCCTTCTCTTATTGTCCTCAGGACTGACTCTGGCTGTGGCCACTCCTTTGGCATTCTTCCTGGCTGCCCTGCAGAGCCCCAGCCTCCTGTAGCTCCCTCCCTGTCCCATGCTCACACTGGCCCCTGTCTTGTGGAAGGGTCTGAGGAGCTTGGTGGTATGTGGCCCTGGTCCTCCTGCCACCGTGGTGGAGCTGAGCATAGCCAGGGAGCGTTGGAAACTTCCCAGCAGCAGGTGAAGGGCAACGGGTTTTTAAGAAGCCTCTTAAAATGCACCTCTTCCCTGGGCTGTGTGTCTGCGGCCCTCGGGTTGATGGTTTTTTGGGCATCTCTGTCTCCCCTCCAGCTGCCGCACATCCTGGGTGGCTTGTCCCTGACTTGCCCCTTCATGCCTTCCTTATATGAGTCTCTGTTCCTCCTCCACCTGCCAACCTCTGCTCACCCTTCAAGACCCCTCTGGAAGATCCCTGCCTCTGCGAGGTTGCCTTCAGCCTCCCTGTCACCACCTCCCTGGCCCCCAGGCTCCCTGGGTTCCTCTTCTATCCCAGGAGGTGAGCCAGGGAAGCTCCAGGAAACGCCCCCTGCCCTTACCTTGTGCCCTGCTGTTGTGACTTCACTCCTGGGAAGTTCTGGAAGCCACCTACTGAACTGAGTCCATGACCTCCACCCCAGGACCTGACCACAGCTGGGCCCTCCCAGTGTGCCCTGTGCAGCTCAGCGGCCTGCCCGAAAGGCCCTCCAGCAGCTTATCTTGCTGTGGAAAGGTAGCTAGGGTCCCCACCTCGGTCCTCACTCCTCCCAGTGTAGCTCTGAGCCCAGGCCTGGCGCCACCTGCTGAGAAGTGGGGATGGGGCTGGGGAGGGGCGCCAGTGCAAGGGAGGCCTTCAGCCTGGGCTGGGAACTCGGCACAGGCAGGATGGACGCTCACATGTGCAGGGCCTGTGGCTACTTAGCACCTTCGCAGCAGAGTGGCAGAGGTGAGCAGCTGCCTCAGGGACTCACTGGCCCCCTGTGCCTAGAATACCTGTGGTCTGGCCTGGCTTGGCCAGGGGCAGCTACCAGTCCACAATTTGAGCAGCAGTCCCTCACTCCATTGGTACACAGGTGCTGGGCAGGCTTGCCCACGCCTGGGAGAGCTGAGAGGAGGGGTCCTGCCTGCCGGCCTGGGAGAGCTTTGCACCTACCCCCATACCATCTGCCAGCTGGGGGTGGGTGCAGGGATAAGGACACCTGGCGCTTTGCCTAGCCAGGTGACTTCTGGGCCTGATATGACCAGCTCTTGCTGCCAGATCAGTTGTGGCCCACTCAAGGGCTTGTGAGGGGGAGGGAAAGGGAGACAAGTGACATCTCCTGGGCCTTTTTTTTTTTTTAATTGGTGATGCTGGGGATGGAACCCAGGGCCTTGCACATGCGTGGCAAGCCTCTGTTGCTGAGCCCCATCCAGAATCTCCCAAAGTCTTTTTTTGTGTGTGTGTGCTGGAGTGTGAACCCAGAGGCACTGTACCACTGAGCCACACCCCTGCCCTTTTTAGTTTTTATTTTGAAACACAGTCTCAATAAGTTGCTCAAACTGGCCTCAAACTTGCCAAAGCTGACCTTGAACTTGTGATCCTTCTTCCTCAGGCTCCCAGATCCTCCTGCCTCAGGCTCCCAAGTCACTGAGTTCTCCAGGGTCATTTTCAAACTGACCCTCCTGGGGGAGGCGCAGTGTGGCTTCAATCTCAATGATAATCCCCCTCCACCCTACCCCGCTTCCAAGAAGTGTTGAGAGGCCCAAGAAAGGACAATGTGAGGGACACGCTGTCTTCCTGGACAGCCACCCGTGCCTCTTCTGCAGCCTGTCCCGCTTGCCATCAAGGTAGGAGTCTATTCCCCCACCCCCATGGTGGTCCACCTTAGCTACTGGCCAGAGGAGGCCCAGAGGACTGTGCTGTGTGGTTCTGGGCTCTCAGAGAAGCCGGCTGTTCTCTCAGCCTCCTGGGCAYTGCTCCCTCTGGGCACCAGCTGCTATGCTGGGAAGTCTCATGGGGAGGCCATGAGAGGGGTGCCAGTGGGTGACCAGCCGGCCATCTGAACTGTAAGTGCAGGAGTAAGGCACTGTGGGTTCAACCCCAGTACCAAAGAAAAGTGTGGTGGATGGGGTGTGGTGACTTCTGAGCTGGGCCACAGAATACCTGGGTTTCCACCTCCCTCTCGGGGATCTCGGAAGACAGGCAGTCTCCCTCAGCTGCCATGCTGGGTGGGTGTTCTAGCAGTCCTGCTCCCTGCCTGCTCAGGAGGAGCTGAGGCCTCCACAGCAGCCAGCCATCTGGGAACAGACCCTGAGCCCCTGCGAGGCTGCATAGGGCTAGCCCTCGGGCATCCTCTCTGGAGCTTCCCGAGAGACCTGAGCCTGACCCACCTCGGCATGGGTCAGTCTGACGACAGAACTGGAGACATTCGAGGTGCTGCTATGGAGTGAGTTGTGTCCCTCGTTCATGTGCTACAGCGTGACCCTCAACACGTGCAGAGCTCCCTAGGATGGGCCCTGCTATGGCTGATCTGTGATGTCCCCCAGAAGCTCATGAGAGACAGAGCCAGGACGCTGCAAGGTCAGATGATAGCCTGTGAGAGCCGTGGCTGCCTCAGTGGGTCATCCCCTGGACTAGACTAGCTGGTATGTAGGGTGTGGCTGGAGAGGCTGGGTCCCGGGATGTGCCTTTGGGGTTATATTGTGTCCCTGGCCTGTAGCTTGCGCTCTCTCTGCTTCCTGGCCACCATGAATGACCAGCTGTCTCTGCCAGGCCCTTCCTCCATGATGCTCTGCTTTACCTCAGGCCCAGAACAATGGATCCGGCCAGCCATGGACTGAGCCTCTGAAACCACGAGCAAAAATGAACTTTTCCTCCTCTAAGTTGTTCTACGACTTTTGGTCTCAACAATGAAAGCTGACTAAGACCGCGATCCACTAGTGTGACGAGCGGTTGTTAGTGTCTCAGTCTGAGGCACAGCTGGGTTCCATCAGGTCTATTTCATTGATGCTCATCACACTTCAGACACACATCCTGATTGTGAGTCCTAACTGAGCTACCCAAGAGTCCCAGATGCTCCCCTGACATGGGTCCTAAGTCGGGGTCTCTGGACCTAGATTCAAGCTGGAGGCGTCTGGTGGGGAGACAGCAGCGACAGAGACCTCCCTCTCTGTCCAGGTCCTGTTGGTCCCATCGCCCCCCAGAGTCTGGGTTTTAAGTCCTAGTTCAGTTGTGCTTGCAGCAGTGCAGATGCTGACATCACTATCTAGGTCTGCCTGGGCCGCAGTTGGCCTCGGTTCTGCCACTCACATCACATCAGGGGCACGTTGCTTATGGTCTTTCCTCCACACACACTCGAATTAATACAACCAACAGTAACCCTGTGTATCCCTGGCACTCAGGTCAACTAGGACCAGTGGTCAGGCACACCAGAGGGTGACCGCGTGAGGGCAACAAACCTCTCGCTTAGACCCCTCCCCTTCGAGGGGGGCTTCCTCACTGCTCCTGGCTGCCTTGTCCTGGGGCGGGTGGCCTGAGAAGGGAGCACACTGGCTGTGCGTGTACCAGGCACTTGTTGGTCTCTGTGTCACTGAACCCAAGGGCACTGGGTACCACAGCCGATGGCTGCTCCTGTCCCCTTTTACAGGAGACCAAGGGACTAGTAACTTGCTCAAGGTCACAGGGTCGTGAGGGGCAGGACCTGTGCCAACGCTCTGTGCTTTGCTGGCCACAGCACAGGCCAGAGCTCTGCTCAGAGAGCCCTCTTGGTGACCAGGAGCTACACCCACAACAGCCCCCTGCTTCCTCAGGTGGAGGCCCGAGGCCATGGGCCCCCTCCTCTGCACCCCACCTTTCCCTCCACGTGATGGCTTACCTGTGCCCAGTCTTTCCAGTGGCCTGAGCTCCTCCCTGGGACAGAGACCTCCTGCTGCAGAGCAGCCCCACGTGTGCTTGGCTGTTGCTTAGAGTGCGGCCTTGTGCTGGGCATTCAGAACGGAGGCTCCAGGGCCCTGGGGGGGCGGCAGGCCTGGCCAGATCACAGACCAGCCCTGGCCCAGGGAACATCCCTGGGATCTAACCTAGGGCCACTCCTTCATCTTCCCTGGGGCTGGGGTAAGGCTGGGGGTCGAGCATTTGCCCAACATGAGTGAGGCCCGGGCTCCTCCTCAGCACCAAAAGGGAAAACAGGGAATCTATGGCAGGAAGCCCTCTGCCAAGGCCGGGGCCGGGACAGACTCAGTGCTGCCCCTGGGAAGCCGAGAAACAGCAGGCCTCAGTCAGAGGCCCCGGAGGGCAGGGCTGCTCTGTCCCTTGTGGTCCTGGCCTCCCACAGGCAGCAGGACCCCCCTGGGCTGTTAGGTGACCCAGCTGTGAAGGGGTCCCAGGAGCTGGGGCTCCCTCTCCCGGGGCTGCCCGCGTCCCAGACCCAGGCCTGGGCTCTGATGCCTCTGTGCTAATTTCACAAAAGACTCGACTTGAACTCCTGACTGAGCAGCTTCACTTTGACAGGACTGAAGATTTGTGACAAGGCTGATCATCACCCCAGAGCGTGGGTGATGTGCAGCCTCCGGGGAACCGGCTAGCGGGTATATTTTATGGCTTGCTTGGAAGACAAACGCAGGCATTTATGTGTCACTTGTTGCAGTATAAATGCTAACTTGTACTTCTTTCAAAACTTTTAATGAATTGTATGCATTCTGGAGGATTTATAGGATGAGTGGGATGGCCCAAAATGTTACTTTCAACATATTTGTCACTTTGGAAACAGCACCAAAAAAATCTGGAAGATATTGCACTCAGAAATAAATCATAAATGGATGCATCTGAAAAGAGGTTTATTTTGGTCGTTAATGGTTGATGGGCCCCCCAGTGCAGGATTTAAAGTTAAATTATGCAAAATCAAAAACAAACCCTATAATACTTAATCAAACATGCATAAAACTGTCAGGCCCAAATAAATTCTCTCAATTAACTCGCTTCAGATTGTGATTGCATTCACTAATTTAATCAGCCTCAGAGTGAGGTGGAGGCCGGGAGAAGATGGACTCGGTGAGCATGCCCCTCAAGGGGCCAGGTCAGGACCTCAAGCCAGGGCAGCAGGCTGGTCCTGGCCACAGAGAATGCTGTTCTTTTACTTTTTTCGCACTGAGGCTCGAAGCCAGGCCAGTGCTCTGCCCGTAGGCTGCACCCCAGCCCGGGCTTTCCCCACTAAGGAGGCTGTTTCCTCTTCTCTCCCCAGGAGGCAGACTCCCCCATCGGGCACAAGGCTTCCCTCTACCCCCGCCTCCGTCCAGGAGCAGGCGTCCTCCACGTGGGTCACCTGGCCTGGCCAGACTTGGAAGAAGGCCACCATGCCTTTGCTGGCTCCTCTGGCCTCAGAACAGGAGTGTGCCTGCCTGCGCGGCTCCGTTCCCACCCTCTCCCCCTGCTCTCCCCCTGCTGCCCCAGTTCATCCTAGGTTGTGTCTCTTGGGAGATAGAGGTGGTGGCAGGTGGGTGGGCACTCCAGGGAGGAGTGCTGGAGAGCCTGCTCCTGGGCCTGGGGGGACGTGGCCGTCTCAAGGCCAGGGCCCAGTGGTGGCTCCTGTGCCACCTGTGCTGTGGGCACTCCTGCAGCACCCCATGACCATCTGGCTCCCTTCAGATGCTGCAAAGCTGGCCATGTCCCAGGAAGCGCAAGTCCCAGCAGCCACGGCACCTTGAGGCCTGTGGAGTGCGGGGTGCATGCTTTACAGATGGGGTTGGGGTCGCGTGGCCGTTCTGTCTGTCTGGGGCCTTAGGGGCTAGCTCCAGCAGAGGCAAGTCCACCCGCCCCCTCCAAGCTGCAGTTGGGGAGGGAGGAGAGTCCATGGGCGGGCGGACRGCATGCCTGAGAAGCTAGACTTGGTCTTTCCTCCCAGCTGCTGCCTGTGTCTCAGGATCCCCATCTCTGAACCCCCTGGGGACCCCCCTCCTCATTGCTCTGGCCCCTGGCCCTTCCCGCATTTTGGTGGAGGGTTTCTGTGGAACCATCAGCAGCCTCTGGCGACCCATGCTGGGCAGTAAGACGGACGGACCCTGGGGACATTCTGCTGAGGGAAGAGCCCAGACACAGAAGGACAGAGCCTGTGTGATATCTCAGTCTTGAGCGGAGGTGGAGTGGCGGGTGAGCGGCCCTGTTTGTGGGGACAGTGTTCATGGGGACCGAGTTTCAGTTTAGGAGGATGAAAAAGTTCTGGAGCTGGTCAGAGGTGGCAGCTGCACTGTGGTGGATGCACCCAATGCCACTGAGCTGTGMACTTAAAAAAAGGACCAAAATGGTGGATTTCGGGATGTGGCTCAGTGGCGGAGTGCTTGCCCTAGGTTAGATCCCAGGATGGAAACAAAACTAAAAAAGGTAAGTTTTTCATATATATCACAATTGGAAAAAAAGGAAAGAATGTCAAAGGCAGCTGGGCATGGTGTGCACACCTGTAATCCCAGCAGCTTGGGAGGCTGAGGCAGGAGGATCATGAGTTTGAGGACATCTTCAGAAATTTAGTGAGACCCAACTTAAAATAAAAAGGGCTGGGGATGTGGCTCAGGGGTAGTCTTCGTGGGTTCAATTCCCCGATGAAAGACAGAAAGAGGGCAAAGGGGGACTCTCAAGAGGACCCACAGGGTTCCAAGACAGAAGACGAGGAGGTGGAGATGGGTAAATGGGAAGGGCTGGGAGCAGGTTGCTGGACACTGGGTCCCTGATCTCCCGCATCCCACATTTCTGGTCAGTATGAAGGAAATTGGAATAAAAGCTCTCCTGGGGCCAAGTTCTAAGAGGGTTTTCCAATGCCTGGGACAAATGGTGGCCCAGGAGTGGCATCCTAAAGGGTGGCCCAGTGGCCTGCCTCTGGGTTGGTCGGGGTGTCTGGGTCCCCTGCTGAGGTGGGCAGAGTGGATGGAGCTTGGCCACCACAGATGGGCTGCTGAGTGGTAGTGGGGCCCCTGACCATTCCCAGGGGTTCTGGGCAAGGTGTTGTGCCCTCTCCCTGTGGTCTGGCCATGTCTTGTCCATTAACCCGGGCACCTGTGTCCATCTGTGGCCTCTGTGGGCAGCTCCTGTTTGTCTACCTGCCCTAGGAATAGAGATGGGCACCAGGACTTTCCCCCTCATCACCTGACAGCCAGTCTTACTTCCTTACCGTTTGTTAAGTTGATTTTAGTAGGTGGGCTATTCCCGATTGAAAACCAGCTGCGGTGAACAGGGAGAAGCCTCCTACCTGCCGTGGTCAGGATTTTACCTTCCTCGCCTGTACTGTGGCCCAAACCCACGTGGTGTGAGGTCCGCTGTCCCACCTCCGTGAAAGGCCTGGTCGGTCGGCACAGGACAGACTCTTGCCTCTCCAGCTGTGCCCTGAGCCTCCTGTTGTCACACTGGACGCCTGAGCTGGCCTCCCAGGTCTTCGCGTGGGTCCTCCTACAGCTGCTCTGATCTGGACTCCAGTTCCTTCTTCAGTCTTGGAGACTCCAGCATGGCCAGGTCACCTCTCAGGACACCAGGAAACCCAGCCACCTGTGGCCACCAGGGCAACTCCAGGCTCGTCCTGCACATCCTCCCCTGCCCCCTCCCTGGCACTGCCTGCCCCTCTGCCAAGGCTCCTTTCTGACCTTAGAGGTTCAGCTCAGCCTCCGCCTCCAGGAAGCCCTCCTGCCCCCTGGCAGAGCTCACTGTGGTTGTTGTCTTCCCAGAACCTGTGGAGGCTGTCTGTCTGTCCCCACCTGCTGGGACTGAGCTCCTTGGGGCAGGCCTGGGTTCAGTGGAGCCCTTTGTCCCTGTGTTGGGCCCAGGGCCTGCTGGCTGAAACGGGCCAGAACCGCTGGCTCTCCAGGAGCTCCGAGTGGATCTCCTGACAGATGTGCTTGGCCCAACTGCCCTGGGGCTGGGTTTCTGTTCACTGACCTGGTCCTCAGGCCAGACTGGGCTCTAGGGCAGGCGGCAGCCTCCGGCAAAGCTCAGGGACAGAAGGCAGGTGGGAATCGACCCAGCAGCCAGCCCAGGGCAGGAGGGCTGCGAGGGAGCCGCCCACACCCAGGGCCAGGGGCAGGGGGCCCCAGGAGGGTCAACTTGGTGCAGGGCTGGAGCCTCCAGGGCAGGTCTGGCACTGGCCACCTTTGGTGTCAGGGAAGAGAGCACAGGGGCCAGGGTACGGGTCAGGCGGAGGTGACATTCAGCCACCACAAACATCTTCTGTGCCTCAGAAAGGGACATTCCTGGCTCTGTTTCCAGGAACTGACCCTGCTGAGAAGGGATCTGGAGCCCTGTCCTGGGGTCATCTGTGGGAACCCAGCTCCCCTCCACGCAGTGGGGTTGAGGCAGGCAAAGAGGGACAAAGGTGTGCACAGGCTCCCGGGCACCTTGTCCTACAGGAGACTCCACGTCAGCACATGCTGCGTCCAAAATGCAGCCCTCGAGACCACCTGCACTGCTGCCCTGGGCAGAGCAGCGTCCGCAGCTGGTCCTCATCAGGGCCTGCAGCTGGTTCCCCTGGGGATAAGAGGGACATGGCTGGGATGCAGCTCAGCTGGGCTTTATAGCCGTGGTGAGAAATGCAGCCCTGCCCCGTGCACTGAACAGGTGCGCGGCTCCCCTTCACATGGTAAGGAAGGCAGGGTGTGCGCCCTCATGCCCCGCACAGGAGCCCTCACCCAGGGCACCCCCATCCCACAGACCTGCCCAGGACACCTGCCCAGGACTCCGCTGGAGGCTCAGGCTCAGCTTGGTGGGTGCACTGGGAAGCCAGCAGGGGGCGCTCTTGGCCTGGGGTGAGTGTCAGCACTCGGCAACCTGCTTCTTCCCGCCAGCGCAGGTCTGAGCTCCTGCCAGTTGTCTTGCTGAGACTGGACAAGGGCAGCTGTGTACCCAGCCACCCCAGCTCACCCAGCTCACCCCAGCTCACCCCAGCTCACCCTGGGGTCAGCCAAGCTTGAAATGGTCCCATGGGAAGTGCCATTGGACTGGACCCTGGCTCCAGATCCTTGGAAGGATGGGGGCAGCTGCTGTGGGATCTGGGCTTCCTTAGGGGCACTCATGTACCCACTTTCAGGGGTGACAGAGCACTGAGCCCAGAAAGACTTGTACCCTGGTCATGGGGTCCCTGGGGAGGAATGGGAGGGGACGTGAGTGTGAGGGTCAGGGACAGCACCAAGTGGAACTACAGAATGATCTTGGGGTTGCTGCAGCACCAGAGTGCTCAGACCTGGTGTGCTGGGTCCCCACTCCCCCTGTCTGGCCCGCCTGCTCCCTGGAGGGCCTGTCCTCTCCCCAGGGCTCAGACCTAGTGGGAGTGCAGGGCTGGGGAGTGAGGGGAGGCTGCAGTGTTTGCCATTGGCACCAGGGGGCGGCCTTGTTCTTCCTTGAGCTCCTGCAAGTGCATCAGGGCTGCAATGGTGGGGTGAGGCGGGCGCTGGAGGAGTGCAGGACTCCCCTCTGCAGCCGGGTCCTGCGGGTGGCCCCGTTGCTTTCCTCAGCACTGCCTCCTAAGGTTCATCCTTCAGTCAGTAGCTGAGAGACCACCCACTTCCAGGTGGGAAGATGGAGGGCCACTGTGGACGGGGCTGGCCTGGGCCAGGCTGCCACCTGGCACCTGTGGTGGGGACAGGTCGGGTGCTGGGCACCCCCAGGATGCTCRCCAAGGCTCCTCCCTCCTAGTGGGGTGCACACCTAGAACAGGGGCTTTAAAAGGCCTGTTCAGTGAGGTGGGTGTGGCTAGCCACACAGGCTGCTGGGCACAGGTGGACCAGGGGACAGGCATTGAGCTTTAGTGCCACTGGTGAAGCCCTTGGTGTGACACAGTGCTGCCTTTGGGAGCCCAGCAG